TGAGTCGGGGTGAGTGGGTCTGAGTGGGGGCTGAGTGGGTCTGAGTGGGGGCTGAGTGGGTCTGAGTGGGTCTGAGTGGGGGTGAGTGGGTCTGAGTGGGGGCTGAGTGGGTCTGAGTCGGGGCTGAGTGGGTCTGAGTGGGGCTGAGTGGGGGCTGAGTGGGTCTGAGTGGGGCTGAGTGGGGGCTGAGTGGGGCTGAGTGGGTCTGAGTGGGGGCTGAGTGGGGCTGAGTGGGGCTGAGTGGGGCTGAGTCTGGGTGAGTGGGTCTGAGTGGGTCTGAGTGGGGCTGAGTGGGTCTGAGTGGGGGTGAGTGGGTCTGAGTGGGGCTGAGTGGGGGCTGAGTGGGTCTGAGTGGGGCTGAGTCGGGGTGAGTGGGTCTGAGTGGGGGCTGAGTGGGGCTGAGTGGGTCTGAGTGGGGGCTGAGTGTCGGCTGAGTGGGTCTGAGTGGGTCTGAGTGGGGGCTGAGTGGGTCTGAGTGGGTCTGAGTGGGGGTGAGTGGGGTCTGAGTGGGGGTGAGTGGGGCTGAGTGGGGCTGAGTGGGTCTGAGTGGGGCTGAGTGGGTCTGAGTCGGGGTGAGTGGGTCTGAGTGGGGGCTGAGTGGGTCTGAGTGGGTCTGAGTGGGGGTGAGTGGGGCTGAGTGGGTCTGAGTGGGGGTGAGTGGGTCTGAGTGGGGGCTGAGTGGGTCTGAGTGGGGCTGAGTGGGTCTGAGTGGGGGCTGAGTGGGGCTGAGTGGGGCTGAGTGGGTCTGAGTGGGGGTGAGTGGGTCTGAGTGGGGCTGAGTGGGGCTGAGTGGGTCTGAGTGGGGGTGAGTGGGTCTGAGTGGGGGTGAGTGGGTCTGAGTGGGGTCTGAGTGGGGGCTGAGTGGGGGCTGAGGGGGGCTGAGTGAGTCTGAGTCGGGGTGAGTGGGTCTGAGTAGGGGCTGAGTGGGTCTGAGTGGGGCTGAGTGGGTCTGAGTCTGGGTGAGTGGGTCTGAGTGGGTCTGAGTGGGGGTGAGTGGGGCTGAGTGGGGCTGAGTGGGTCTGAGTGGGGCTGAGTGGGGGCTGAGTGGGTCTGAGTGGGTCTGAGTGGGGCTGAGTGGGGCTGAGTGGGTCTGAGTGGGGGTGAGTGGGTCTGAGTGTCGGCTGAGTGGGTCTGAGTGGGGGCTGAGTGGGTCTGAGTGGGGCTAAGTGGATCTGAGTGGGGGTGAGTGGGTCTGAGTGGGGGCTGAGTGGGTCTGAGTGGGGCTGAGTGGGTCTGAGTGGGGACTGAGTGGGGACTGAGTGGGGGCTGAGTGTGGGCAATGGGGCTGCCTTTGACTGCAGTTGCACACCTGGGCACATGCAGATATTGGCATGGCCTTGACACAGACCTGCTTTGCGGTTGCTGGGAGATGATCTCCTCCCTGGGGCTCCCTCTGCACCCCACGTGCCTCACGGGGTGCTGCCCTCCCAGGCCTTCCCTGTGGTGAGTGGGCAGTGCCCCCCTGGCCTGCACCAGGAGCAGGTGCCCTCTGAGGAGCAGTCCCCTTCCCAAAGTCAGACAGATGACAGAGCTGGACAACAGCGGGCACAAGTGGTGGGGAGCTCATGCCAGCCGTTGTACCTCCCCCAGGGCCCCATGCCTGCTTGGGACCTACACCAAAGGCCAGAGATGCCCACACACATCCCAGGGTGGCCCCACTGCATGCCCACCCCAGCTCCACACACCTCTCAGCCCCCACCAGGCACACCCTGGATGGCCCTGCTCCGCAGTACCTTCCCTCCCAGCCGGCCCGTGACGGCCCCCGGCTCACTGCCATTCGGCTGGGCTTCCTGTGGCAGCGTTTTCAGAAACAGCTAGAAGAGGGTAGTTGGGCTATCATGCTCAGCTGAGCTGGAGAAAGTGGCAAATGTGCTTTATGTAAGAAGTCGCTGCCGCCCACCCCATAAGGGCACCCCCTCCTCCTGCCAGCCCGCCCAGCTCCCCGCAAGGGCACCCCGTCCTGCTGCCAGCCCGTCCACCCTGTAAGGGCACCCCGTCCTGCTGCCAGCCCGCCCAGCTCCCCGCAAGGGTACCCCGTCCTCCTGCCAGCCCGTCCACCCTGTAAGGGCACCCCGTCCTGCTGCCAGCCCGCCCAGCTCCCCGCAAGGGCACCCCGTCCTGCTGTAGGTTGGCCTGTAGCCGAGCCCCTTGAGTGAGATCTAGCATCCCAGGAGAGCCTGGGGCCCCAGGGTGCCAGGCAAGTTCCACACTCAATAATCCTAACTGGTTTCTTCAGACGTCAGCTCACTCCACACTGCCATGGGGTTGAAGGGCTTGGTGGGGGCTCCTGGTGTGAGAATGGGTGTGTGTCATGAGCCACATTCCCATGCTGGAGCTGGGATGAGGGCCCACACTAACATAGGTCCCGGGCACTGCCAAGCTCTGCCGACCGTGTGCCAACCCTGGAGGCGTCTCCTGATGCCCTTCTCTGTAACTTGAAGGATCTGACATACCAGGAATGGGCATCAGACTGGGGATGGATGGCCTTGTCCTGTGAGCACACCCGAGTTTGCCGGGAGGAGTCTGGGCAACGTGGTGGGCATGTCACCGGGGGTGCCACCACCAGCTGCCATCACGCATACCACATGTGACTGGCCGTGGGGCATTCAGTGTGGCTGGCACGCAGCCTAGAAATCAGCTGCCCGCATGCCTGCCAGCTCTCCCCTTTGGGTGGCCCTCGCGTGTGGTCCAGCAGGCTGCAGGGGTGGCCTCGGCGCCTAGGGGGCTGTCTCAGGAGACTGCACGGGGCCAGCCACCCCCAGCTCTTCCACCCACAGGGCGCCTTAGGGGTCCAGGACGCCTCTGGCCCGGCCCTGCTCTGACCCCAGGTGTTTGCAGTAAGAAGCATTGTCAGCTCCCACCGGGCAGGATTAGCCCTGCTATCCGGCAGCTTTCCGGGCCTGCCGGCAGCACCCGCCCGGCAGGTGCCGACAGGAATGGCCGGGCAGCCCCTGAAGCAGCTCCAGGCCCTCAGATCCCCGCACACTGTGGGAGACCTCTGCGGGCTGTGACCACAGGTTTTGTGTGTCGGGGCCGGGAGGGCTGTTGGGTGGACACGTGCAAGGCCTAGCTGTGGGTCAGGGACACAGGCGTAAGGCCGTGGGGCAGCTAAGCCAGGGACCATCCTGTGAGTCGGGAAGGGAGGGCCGTGGGCTGGGCCAGGCCTCTGGGTACCAGGGAACAAGGGCTGAGATGAGCGGAGTTGTGGGGGCTATGCGCGCTGAAGGGTACATCTCCTGGAGGGTTTGGATCCTGGACTCAGATGGTCCACACTGAGTTACACATGCTTGGGGCAGGACATGCGGAAGGGCGGAGCGGGAAGGGTCCCTGGCGGATGTCAGTCAGTGACGCACCGGAAACGGCCGGTTGAGCTGCGGTCCTGCGACAGCCGTGCAGACAGAGGTCTCAGCAGTCTGGGCTAACGGTGGGGGGAACAGACACCTTGCCAGGGTGACACCCCAACAGCTCTACTCTTCTGAGGTTGCCACAGCTGCCCAACATGTCCCCAAGAACAGGAACCCAGGGGTCCTCGAGATCACCCCACAGGAGGGTGTGCCTTGAAACTCCTCACCAGTCCCCCATAGGAAGGGGGTTCACTGTGGCCAGGTAGAGCCGGAGGAGCTGCAGGGGGGAGGGGACTGGGGCAGTGGTGCATCCTGGCAGGCAGCCACCCATGTCCAGTGAGTGCTGCGGGAACATTGCACGAATCAGGAGTGGATGCTATGTAATCCCCCATGGAAGAGCCAATAACTGGAGCCAGGAAGTCACACAGGGGGCCTCCTTGCCACCTGCCTGGCCATGGCCATGATGGAGGAGGCCTCCCCGCCACCTGCCTGGCCATGGCCATCACATGGACTCGGTGAGAAGCCTACTGTGGCCATCATGGAAGAGGCCTCGCTGCCAGCCTCCTGGCCATGGCTATCACGGGGGAAGCCTTCCCACCGGTCACCTGGCCATGGCCATTATACAGGCTTGGTGAGAAAACCAGCCTTGTCCGGAAGGCACATCTCTGCAAGTGTGTTCTACTCCACTTGTGCATGACCTGGTCGAAGACTCGCTTCGGAAGACGTCTTGCGTGACGCCCACACTGTCTTCGAAGGCCTGGGCCTGAACAGTTCTTTAAGGGCTAGCTGTCCCATGGCCCCTGCAAGTACTACTGTCACAGGTGCCTAGGGGAGTCCTGTGTCCCCGCCACAGAGGCCACTGATGGGCATGGCTATTGGCACCCCAGAGCCACCCAGGGAGGACCTGCTGGGCTGGTCAGCCCAGAGCAGTGGATGATGGAGTCCTGCCCTACGGAACTCACCATCCCAACCACTACTTCTCAGATCACATGACTGTGAGGTTGGTCGGTGGGCCTTACTGCGTGGGTACCCCAGAGAGGGGGCTTTGGAGGCACATCTGCAGGGAGATGCTATGTGAGCTCAAATCTGAGGTTGCGGTCACCTGCCCCCATGAGCACGGGTCCTCCTTTGTGGCCCCTGCTGACACACCGATGGCCAGACCACGAGACAACTGGCGATGGCAGAGTCTGGGGGCTTCAACCCCAGGAACGGGAACACACTGCCTGGTCACAACACGGCCATTGTCATCTCACAGCAGGGAGCATGTCATCAGCAGCCGTGGGCCAGGGCCAAAGGATGGCCACTCGCCAGGACCCAGTACCCTCAGCAGGCCGGCTCACCCAGCGCCAGGCGACTCTGGTCAGGAGCACACGGCACCAGCTGCCCATTGCCATGCGTTCCTTCTCGGGCTGAGAGCGTGTGGGAGCAGCCCAGCCAGCCTCGGGCTGGGCAACAAATCGGGAAGCTAAAACAACCGCTGTTTGTCCTGCAGGAACAGCTGCAAACACCAACAAGGAAGGGGCGGGGATACACAAGCTCCTGTTGGGGCAACATGCACCCGGCAAAGATAAAAGCCGAGGTCCTATAGCCTCTCACACACTCACACTTCCATCGCTCACACACTCACACTCACACCCCTCTCCCTCACCGCACATCATGGCCGCCTCCACCGTGTCCATCTGCTCCAGCAACCTCAGCTACGGCAGCAACATCTGCATGCCCGCTTCCCACGACTCCTGGCAGGTGGACGACTGCCCAGAGAGCTGCTGCGAGCCACCCTGCTGTGCCCCCAGCTGCTGCGCCCCGTCCTCCTGTGTGACCCTCTGCTGCAAGCCCGTGTGCTGCAAGCCTGTCTGCTGTGTGCCTGTCTGCTCCTCCTCCTGCTGCCAGCAATCTAGCTGCCAGCCCTCATGCTGTGGCTCCTCCCCCTGCCAGGAGTCCAGCTGTGTGACCCTCTGCTGCAAGCCCGTGTGCTGCAAGCCTGTCTGCTGTGTGCCAGTCTGCTCTGAGAGCTCCTCCTGCTGCCAGCAGTCTAGCTGCCAGCCCTCATGCTGTGGCTGCTCCCCATGCCAGGAGTCCAGCTGTGTGACCCTCTGCTGCAAGCCTGTCTGCTGTGTGCCCCTCTGCCCAGCACCCTCGTGCTGCCAGCCCAGCTGCTGCCCCTCATCCTGCTGCAGACCCTCCTCCAGCGTGTCCCTGCTCTGCCGCCCTGTGTGCAGACCCGCCTGCTGCGTGCCCGCCTCCTCCTGCTGTGCCCCCACCTCCTGCTGCCAGCCCAACTGTGGCCCCTCAGCCTGCTGCAGACCCTCCTCTAGCGTGTCCCTGCTCTGCCGGCCTGCCTGCCCCCGCCTGGCCTGCTGTGGCCTCTCCTCGGGCCAGTCCTGCTGCTGAGCTGTGTCCCTGACTTTGTGTGGCCAGTCCTGTGTGGATCCTGGAATCTGGTTCTTGGGTGTTGGGCTGTTGCTACCCTCAGGCCATCCCTGGAGTTTCTGGGGCCTGGGTGGGACTGAGCTGGACTGTGACAAGGTCAGTCTGTGGTGCTGCGTCCCCCTAGTGGCCTCTGCTCCCCAGGGTGTCTGCGCCCAGCTCTCAAGCATGGGGCAAACTCACCATTAAAGTCCTGTAGCTCTGAACCCTCTGACTCTGCGTGTCCTGCATTCCTTAGGGATCCCGGGGCTCTCTGTGTAGCATAGAGGGTCCCTGTGGGCAGGTGGGGGTCTCCCTGTGGGCAGAGTGGGGGCTCCCTGTGGGCAGAGTGGGGGCTCCCTGTGGGCAGGGTGGGGGCTCCCTGTGGGCAGAGTGGGGGGCTCCCTGTGGACAGGGTGGGGGCTCCCAGGCATCCTTCCGGGGTGCTGGAGGGCTGGGCTGGGCTGAGTGGCCCTGTGACAGCCCGAGACAGTCGTCATTGCATCATCATTTTGTTGAGTGGCCACATGGCGCCTCTTCCTTCCACCTGACCTGGATCCTCTGCCTGGGGAACCTTCTGGGTCCTGCTGGCCTCCCACACATGTGGGTTGCCCGAAGAGGTGGCTGGCAGCCAGAGCCTGGTCACAGGGTTGAGCCTGTCCTTATGGTGTGGGCACAGGTTGGCAACTCTGGCAAGCATGCGTGCACACTTGGAGTAACGAGCGCAGGAGGCCAGGGTGGTGGCCACTGGGCACTTCATGAAATATTCCAAGTTCTGTTTGGATGGCGCTGGTGGGTGCCATGGGAGGAGATGCTGCTCTCAGCCCACTGATTATGAAACCAAGAAGGCACCAGGGCAGGGGCCAGGGACGCCCCCTCTCCCCCTGCAGAGCCTGGACGCCAGGGCAGGGGCCAGGGACGCCCCCTCTCCCCCTGCAGAGCCTGGACGCCAGGGCAGGGGCCAGGGACGCCCCCTCTCCCCCTGCAGAGCCTGGACGCCAGGGCAGGGGCCAGGGACGCCCCCTCTCCCCCTGCAGAGCCTGGACACCAGGGCAGGGGCCAGGGACGCCCCCTCTCCCCCTGCAGAGCCTGGACACCAGGGCAGGGGCCAGGGACGCCCGCCCCCCTGCTGCAGAGCCCCTAACCCTAACACTGACCCAGGCACCAGGAAATGTCCGCCCCCCTGCAGAGCCTGGACACCAGAGCAGGGGCCGGAGATGCCCTCCGCACCTCAGAACCCGGGCATCAGAGCAGCCCGAGGGCACAGCCCACCCGTGACAGTGGCATCAGCCGTACTGTTCAGCAGCGTGTGGACCATTGCCCACCGCAGTTGGTCCAGCCCAGGGACGCATCCTAGTGGTTCTTTCATTTGCAAAGACATTCTCTGGGTTCTCACCTGATTGGCAACAAAACAAAGAGCCAGGGGAGAGAAACATCCTGGGCTGGCATTGTGGCACAGCATGCTAAGCCTCCAGCTGTGGCACAGGCAGCCATATAGGCACCGGTTTGAGTCCCGGCTGCTCTACTCTGGTCCAGCTCCCTGCTTGGGGCCCAGAAAAGCAGCAGAGGATGGCCCAGTCCTTGAGTCCTGCATGTGGGAGACCTGGAAGATGCTCCTGGCTTCCGATCAACTGCAGCTGTTGCAGCCATTTGCGGAGTGAACCAGTGGATGGAAGATCTTTGTCTCTTCCGCTCGACTTCTCTGGTACTATAATCTTAACTCTGACCCTGACCCTAACCCTAAACCCTGACCCTGACCCTAACCCTAAACCCTGACCCTGATCCTTCTCAATATAAATAAATAAATCTTAAGACAGAGGGGGAAATGTCTTGAGTCTGGAGGTTGACCCTGCTGAGCAGCACGTGACCCAGAGACCCACAGCGTGCTGCCCCCTGCCCTTTGACCTCCTCAGGGTCTGGGACAAAGGGCAGCGCTCCCGTGCCCTCTCTCCCAGGCTGAGCCATGTGGTCCTCAGCCAGGAGACTGTTTCAAACACCCAGAGAGAGACTGTTACAGCCCCTGAAGTGTTTAGCGTGGCCCCCTGGAGGGTGACCGGCCCCAGCATGGCTCCTGAGTGAGCCTGGGAGCTTGGGCGGCTTGGCAGGTTCCTGCACCATGGGCCCAGCACTCTTTAACGGAAGAGTGAGAAGCCAGGGTCCCACCAGACACAGGACCAAGAGCAAAGTGCAACTCACACCCAAGGGCCGGAATGGCCACCCGGAGCAGACCCCAAAGTGCTGCGCCAGGGGGTCAGCCGTCCAGGGGCTGCGGCAGTGGCCACACAAAGTCGAGAACCAAGCATGAAAAACCTCAAAGGAGAGGAGGCTGCAGCAGGAAAGGCTGCTAACCCCCACCCCAGGAAGGAACCGCCTACCACCCAGCATGGCCTGGGGGCAGCCCCTGCTCGCACCCCTAGCGTGGGCATCTTAAATCAGGCCTGGTGGAGAGGCACCCGGACACCCACTGAGCAGCTGGACTCGCCGCCCAGCCTTGCTTGCTGTGGCCGGGGTGGCAGGTGACCCACTGGCCTCCCTCAGGCCCAGCTGGAGCTAAAGGCTGGCATCGCTCCCTGCTGGACTTCTGAGCAGTTTGGCTCAGGTTTATGAGCGACACCTCTTGGATTCTGGACCCCTCCCATTTGACAAAGCACGAAAGATCAGTGAACTTGAACGTCGGAATTGAGCCAAACCAGAAGCGAGGCGGAAGAGAACATCCTGAAACAGCCTCCCGGGCCGTGGCAGTGTCTGAGGGCACGCTGAGGGCAAGGTGCAGGACAAACAGCCTCCCAGGGCATGGCAGTGTCTGAGGGCACGCTGAGGGCAAGGTGCGGGAGAAGGGAAGTCAGCCCGAGGAGGCGGCCAGCTGGAGGCCCGAGGATGTGAGCCACCCGGCCAGCAGCAGAGTGCATCACATACAACAGAATCAAAATCGTCAACGAAAGATATGTGCGTGATTGTAAAATACTTGGAAATTAAACCACATGCTTTACTATAACCACAAACACGAGGGAAACCTTAACAGAAACACTCTAATCAAATTAAAATAGATCACACGTGACAACGCGGCGGACGCAGCCCCACGGGCAGAGAACAGAGGCCAGCTGCCACCGCCTCTGTGGTGGGAAGAGACCTCAAGCCCGGGGCCAGGGAGCCCTCTCCCCGGCAAGCTGGCGGAGCAGCACAGGGCGGGTCCAAACCCGGCCAGAGACACAGGAAGAGCCGGGCCGTGTGGCACCGTGCCCAAGTGAAACCCAACAGGAGGATGGCAGGGAGGCCGGGGCAGCGGGGAGGCCGGGGCAGCGGGGAGGCCAGAGCAGCGGGGAGGCCGGGGCAGCGGGGAGGCCGGGACAGCGGGGAGGCCGGGGCAGCGGGGAGGCCGGGGCAGCGGGGAGGCCGGGGCAACGGGGAGGCCGGGGCAGCGGGGAGGCCGGGACAGCGGGGAGGCCGGGGCAGCGGGGAGGCCGGGACAGCGGGGAGGCCGGGGCAGCAGGGAGGCCGGGGCAGCGGGGAGGCCGGGGCAGCGGGGAGGCCGGGACAGCGGGGAGGCCGGGGCAGCGGGGAGGCCGGGACAGCGGGGAGGCCGGGACAGCGGGGAGGCCGGGGCAGCGGGGAGGCAGCCACAGGCAGAGGATTGGCCTATCATGCTACCGTGCCAGACCTGAGTGGCCTCTATTAATCAGAACTCGAGTTCATAGCTAAAACACCTCCAGCAAAGAAAGCACCAATCACACGGCTTTGTTGTTGACTTCCACCGTGCAAGGACGGATGAAATAATACCAACATTCCCCAAACTTTCCAAAAAATAATGGATGGAAGAAACCTTCTCAGCTGATTTTATGAGACCGGCATGACACCAGTATGAAAGTCTGGCAAGGACATTGAAAGGAAGCTGCACATTTCTGACTTCATGAAGACACAAGACTTCCCTAAGAAAGGAGCCACTCGGACCCGGCGTTGTTCAAGCAGAGTTCAGGAGTTTGTGCAGAGCACGTGCTAGGAGCGGAGCGAGGGCGGATGGTGTTACATTCACGCTGGCCAAAACGTTAGACTCACTGAGCACAGGGGAGGAACACCTTGGCCGAGCACGAAAGCCTTGAGACGGCCTTGATCTCAGGGAGCCACGGTCACGGCTTCCCTTCCCCGCGCAGGAGACGGACGAGGAGTGAGCTGCAGAGGAAGAGCACGGAGGAGACGGGAGGGGCTTTACACTCTCCTTGACACGGAAGCCAAAACGGGGGTCGCCTCGGCCGTTACTGCTGGGGGGATACGGGTCTGTGTCCCTCATTGGTGCAACGGTGGTCTCACAGCCTGAGGGACCCGCCAGAATTCCGCCACCCGTTCCGGGTGTGGTTGGAGGCGAACTCCGCCCTTCTCCGGCCACCGTTGGTGCAACTTATTTTGCACCAAAATAAATTACTTTTCATTTTCCACGCACCTTTGAAGCCCGTTGGGTTAGCTGATTGTCATTTCCACGGACTCAGGCTGTCTCTGACATGTTAGGTGGCTGTAACATTTCCAAAGTCCAACCCATACACCGTGCTGTGTTCTCAAAGGGCGGGGACCAGTTCAACCAGCTGAAGAGGGACGCGGTGAAATTTGACATCTGTGTGTTTGAAAATATAAACCTGCTGAAAGCCAGCCTGGGGGGGTAACTGTCCCGTTCCGGGGCAAGATTCCGGCACCACCAGAGTGAGGCGGCAGTGTGCGTGTGGCCGCACCTGCCCCTCGCTGTCCCAGACCGCCTGGCCACGTGCCCAGGGAGTGCCGGCCGCGTGGGAGAGATCTGTTAAGCGGCGGGACACCAGGTCATGAGCCAACACTGGCTAGAATATTTACAAAGAAAGTGCAGGACGAGCTAACAGAACACACACAGGGCGCTGCGCGCACGCACAGGGCAGCTCGAAGCCCACGGTCCGTAGTAAAAGCTTATTTATTTACTTGAAAAGCAGAGAGAGATTGTCTGTCTTTTCACTGGCTTCCCATTT